TTAAAGCCTCGAATATATGCCACAGAATTCATCAGGGTCAGAGCGGCTATCAACCTGTTGTCTGGACGCATCAAAGTTTGGGCTCACCAAATGTTGCAGACGAAGAGTCCTGTCCTGGTCAGCTGGGAATCCTTTAGTACTGCTATGGACTCACAATGTAAGACCACTGTGGCCAAGTCAGCTCCACGTACTAAAAAATCTCAGACTCTTCCTAACCAAGAACCCGAGTACCACCACTACGCCCCAGAAATGCCTCCTTATGTTCCAGCTCCCAGGAAAACTCCAGAGGTATCCGGTGTTCCACTTGACCCTGTGGAACCTATGCAATTAGGACTCGTCCACTGCAAAGTGACACCTAAGGAAAAAGACCGAAGGAGAAGCTATGGCCTATGTTATTACTGTGGAGAAAAAGGGCACTTCATCACGCTTTGTCCTGTTCGCCCTCCTAGACCTCCAGCTCTCCGACTTGGTACTAGTTTCCTTCGCCCTGTGTACACCGCATACCAGCCTAAAAAGCCAAATAGAAGCCGTTGTGCTTGCACATGCTTGGCTTCCGCGAGAAAACCTCCATCCCCTGCTCCAGAGCCTCCTGCATCTACTCCCGAAGTTGCTTCCTGTGATACCACCACTACTTCCTGCCCGCCCGAAGAGGTTTTACCTGTGGATTGTGCCGTTGCTTCTAATGACACTATAGTCCGTAAAGAAGACCTTGAAATGTTCAAAAAAGCATTGTTAGCTGCGAACACTGCTCCTGCCAAAGTTTTGGAAGTGCTTGCCACCTGTACCCGGAACCTAAAAGACCTGGACAATTCTCCAGCCGTACCAGAAGCTGGTACTGCGGACTCCCAAGCTGTAAAGGGAATCCTTGCTGGGGAGTTTGACTATGGGGACTCACTGGATTCAGATAGTGACCCTGGAGAGGTGTACTATGCTGACAATGAACCCATTCACGCCCGGAGGTCGTTTTTAAAGGGGGGGGTACTGTCACGGTTCTCACCTGATAGACAGACGGCAAGACGTGGTCGCTCTTGGAGTTCCCAACAGGGGACTTGAACCGGGATCTTCTCAGTCCTGGTCCTGCTTTCTACCTCTGAGCCACAGCAGCTATTTACAGTGAAGACTGATTCCAGTCCTGTTCATCCTGACATGGCTACTACTCTGGGGGCTGCACCTTGACTTGGCTGTGTTTCACCTGACTCTGATCAGTCATCAGCAGGGTATATAAACCCAGCCTCGCCCTGTGCTCAGTGTCAAGTCCTTGATCCTGTTTGTTCCAGTGTTTCGGTTTCATCGCTTCGCATTATTGACCCCGGCTTCCTGACTCGTTTATTCTGACTTCTGGCATCCCTTGACTTCGGCTACTCCTCGTTGTTCCTGTCCTCTGGCATCCTTTGACCTCGGCTATCCCTCGACCATCCTGCTGGTTCAGTCCTTGCCTGTCCTGCGCATTGGTACTGCATCCTGCACAGCCCCCGTGCACAGACCCACAGGCCAGGTGAATTCTTACCTGACCACCTCGGCCTGTGGCTATCTGCAAGGGTGAGCATCATATCTGCGCTACAGACTCCCAACTCAGGTAAGACCCTGACATGTATGTGCATACATTCAAGCAGTCAAACACCAGCACAACATACAAGCACACTCCTGCAAGCTAACACAAATATTACATACACACCCCTGCATTCAAACTCAAAAAATATATACAAACACACCCCTTCACTGAAACACAAATACTTCCCAGAAATGTAAATCCACATTTAAAATTGAACATTACATTCAGACACACCCCTGCAATCAAATGCAAACATACCCCTGTATTAAAACACAATAAATGTATACAAGCACCCCTTCAAACAACAACACTGTACATTACACTATAGCGCTGATGTAGATTAATTTAGAAATAAACAAAAATGTTTAAAAGTCTATCTGTTCCTGTCCAAATCTGAGATGAATAAATTGCGTATACGCAGAAGTAAGTTCATACTGACACATGCAGTTCAGGTTAAAAACACTTCAGGAAATTTATTAGCATCTAGTTAAAAAGCGGGCACGCAGGCCTTTTTATATGCAAAATGACATCATCATTGAATATCAGATAATAACAAATAAACATCATTAATTGGGTTAAATGTTAAGTGGCTATGTCAGTGTCCACCCATTAATATTATTAATTGGCTCAGAGATTTGAGTGACTAGTGAGGCACCCTCCCATCATGGGATGTCATTGCTCTTTAGCACGAGGCTTACTCGGTGGAAAGGGGGGGGCTTGGGCATCATTTTACGTAGTTAGTGATGTCAGTCTCCTGGTCTGTTCCAAGGTTCTTTTATGAATAGAACATTTCATTTTGTCGCTGTTCTCCTGGCCTTGGATTATACTATGTTGCAAGTCAACGGAGATCCGCTAACTCCGGGGCTAGTTATGTCCTTAGAGAGAGAAAATACAATCTCTTATTCATTATATTGAATACTGTCATGTAAGGT